ACAAGATTACATTCAAACTGACTACTAAGTACGTAATATACTTTTATGAGTCTATGTAAATTTTAAGTGAATGGTTACAAATAAGTTTATTTCATGGCCAATCAAAATTATTTGACTATTATTTAAATTAGATATTTTAAATATAAACATGGAAAGGTTGGAGTCTGTAATGTAATTATTGTATAAGAAATTTAGTAATAGGAATAGTGTAATTCATAGCAGGGAATTTTACTTTCAACTTGGCATTTAAAAAATGGTAATTGAAAGTTACAATTTTGAATTGGTAGAAAAACAGTAGGAGTTTATTCTAACTTAGTAAAGAATGATAGATAAAATTATAAAAATTTGTTTCTTTTAATTAACAATTTATATGCTTAAACCAAGAAAATAAGTTTTTAAAGCAAAGCAATCATTTATTTTCAAAATAATTTCTTATGTTCAAGATTATTTTTTATCACACTTTTAAAAATTCCTATGGTAATTTAGCAAAAATTCAAATATGCCAATGCAGTAATACATAACTTAAGATGTAGGATTTATAGATAAAAATTATAAAATAACATTATTTTTTTATAGGGTTCTTCACATGTCTAGAAAAATTACTTGTATAGTATTGTAATTTTTGGATTATAAATTATAATCGATGTGGTTGAAAAAATATTATATTCTACAAGTATTTTATCCTGGATACACAAAAAATTTTATTATCTATGATTTATATAACAACCAATAAAATAAAATTATATAGAAAAAAATATTTATGAAAATATATTCATATCATTAACAGTTATGTACTTTTACTTTAGAAAAATACCACTTGTAATTATTTGAATTTAATTACTTATTAATAAGCACATTCTATGAAGCGGAAGTAAACCAATAATTAGATAAAAAAAAAGTCTGGCGGTACCCGTATATAATATAATATTTTATCTAACAATGAAAAAAAAAATTGATTGAAAGGTTTGATTTGTGAATTAATCAACAGAAACTTATAAGGTATGTCTTTGAGGAGTATGAACATGTATGCATTTGTTTATACATAATACTAAAGATAAGTATAAAAAATGTCTCACGCGTATTTTCTCATGAATCAAACAAAGAGAGATTGAACACAAATACTTAAATACTTATATAGATATATAACGAAAGTATTAAAGTAATTGTCGTGGTCGTTACTCGGTTACTAATTTATGCTACATGCTCGTTATTAAACCAAGTGTATGAAGAGTAATACGCTATACCGCGTGGGTGTATGTATTGTCTCGTAAAGAATGTAGAAAGTAAAGTATCTTGAGTAATGCAGAGAACAAAGTATAGGTTGTGAACGTGAACACCGAGAGAACAGCAATATAAAGGATGGATGCGCCAATGGGAGGATCTTCTTCAACTATATCTATCTTGCGTTTCACGAAGCATGTCTTTGCAGAAGAAAAGGTCACCTAATCCACCTTATTCTATACCCGACATTTAGATATTTACTTATTACTTATACTTCACTTTTGATTATTCACTATTTACTTGTTTTTAACAGAAGATAATTACTTCATTTATTTTAAAATAAATTGCTATTTTTTTTTTTACAATATACTCAAATTTTTACGATTATAATTGAGTTATGATTTATATTTTATTGAATACATTACATCAATTTTATTTTCAGGCACAATAAGCTGAAAAATAAAAGAGTCCAATATTTTTTGAAAAGTTCCAAAATTGAAATTTCGACTTTTGATAAACAAATTAAAAGTAATCGATTAATTTTTTAATATCGCCATATTATCTTTATATTTTTCACCGAAAAGGAAATAATAAACAGAAAAAAAATTGTCAATTTACTAAATTTAAAAATTTATATTCAAAACATGTTTATAAATTTTATGATAAACTAATACTTTATCATCCAATCTTACAGCATTTGTTGAAAGTTTATATCAAATTATCTTTTTATTCAAGTCAGAGCATAGATCAAAAGTGAATATGAATAGGTATTTTTAAGCTATATACACTGGGTATACCGGTATAGTATAAATACTTTTGTAAGTATTAAAGTTCAAAGTGTGCATCATTGGGTAGTCTTCTTCTGATGCACTCTGTAGATGCTTAACCATTTACCATATACATACATATATATGTATATATGTACATTCAATATGACGCGCATGCGCTGTGGACAATGGACCTATCAGGTCTCTAGTCTCTAGGCAAGAAGAAAATGAAAAAAAAGATCTACCGGTTTGATTTTTTTCTTAGCTCATAAATATATGAATAACTCACAAGTTCACTTCTAAAAGATTAAATAAAAGATTCAAATACGTTAAATACAAGCATACTCTTCGTTAACACTCACATTACTTTATTGCATAATTGAATAAATATAGTTTCTTTTTAATATTTAAATATTACGATTATGTTAATTGAGATATTCAGCCTGAAGCTATCAATTTAATTATCGATCAAACATATTGTTTTATTACAAAGTAAATTTTTCTAAAAAATTACTTCGTTGATTAAAATCGTCTTTAATACTTCTTATTATAATTTTGTTTTTTTTTTTTTATTAAACTAACCGAGATATCAGGGCAATGCCCTTTGTTGTCAACATAATCCTGGACTTGTGCAATCACCTTACTCACCTAACCATTTGCCTTCTGTTATGTTTTGTAGTGCTACGGGTTAGATGTGTATACCGTCGAGCGATATAATATCTCTCAACGACCCCACGACAAATAAAAATCTTTAAAAACAGGAAAATTATTCGCTGACTTGTTTCACTTCTTTTCGGATATTTTAAATTCACTTATTATTCAACAATTTGATAAGACCAAATTCGATTATTGCTGACAATCTTTGCTCATCTTTTTTTTTTTTTATCAAAAATAGTTTAAAAATTTTTTTCTATCAATTGCACATTTTGCTCTTGAAGATTTATTAAAATTTAAAGAAAAAATGAGTTTTTTATAATATTAAATAAAAACTTTATTAATTTTAAAATTAAATTTATAATTTTAATTTATCAATTGATATTTTTTAATACACCGAAAATCAGAATATTTAAAAACAAAAGAATTTCAACGGGTGGAGCCACGACTTTAAATAATTATCCTAAATTCTATTTAAAAAATTATGCAATAAAAATTTAAAGATAGGTTTTTTTTAATGATCTTCTAATTTTTACGAGGGGATAGAAACGATAAGAATGAATATAACTAAAAATTAAAACTTGTAAAATGGCATGTAATGGGCTAGCTATGAATTCTTTGAACGGCTTTGGAAGCCCTTTTGGTGAATCAGTCCTTTGTGGCTGGATCTCTCAGGGTCAACCACTTTTCGCGTTCTCCAATGTATGCTTACGTGAGTGTTGAGGCTCTACTAGGTAATTTTGCTTCTTTGATTCTTAAATAACGCTGGAGAAAATTTATCAGCGTCAGTATTTACTTGATTGATTTAATTTATAATTATTTATTTATTATATGTGCATTAATAATTTTATTTTTCTAAATTTGTGATCACTTCATTCTTCAATATTATTACTTGTCAGTAATTACTGTGTTTTAAAAAAAAGATTATAACAAATGATTTAGCAATAAGTCAAACTGATGTACTAAGTAGTGTTTTATTTGAGAAATTTATAACTCTTACTATAGCTACAAATTTAGTTAAAGGAGTTATAAAGATTTAAGTAAAATAAAAAGAGTGATTGGGCAAAAAAATAACTTCTGTGCCGGGAGAAAAAATTCAAGGCAAAATGAATGAGTAAAAAAAATACCCAGACAAAACATCGTCTGGAAAGGTAAAAGTAGTTAATCTTAAAAACCTGTTCAACAATTTTATGACGTACATTGTTTAAATTTTATCTAATGGCAGATATATTTTATATATTTTTCAATTAATCACGTTTATCAATTATTTTTTTAAATCCATCAAGTGCATTTCATTTTTATTATTAAATCTTTTACAACAATTTAGAACAGCTAGATTTTATTTGACAATTTTTCACAGTTTCAATTAATTTGAGATTTAGATATTTTTCGACAATAAATTGGGATAATTGTAAGTCCAGTTTCTAATCAATGAATCAAGAGATCACTATTTCAAGATTGCGTTTTTGTTTTGCAACGATAGTATGAAATTTAATTTATTTATTCCATTTCTAAAAAAAAAACTAAGACACAGCAGGGAATTAAAAGGCTGATGTAGGATCAACCTTTTCTTCTGGCAGATGAAAAAAATTTTTTAGTATTATTCTTGTTTGGATTATGATCTCAAAATATACTGTATAAAAAAAAATTGAATATATGTAGACAGCTCGCTAAATGTTTTATTAAAAAAAAAAAAAAATTTATAACCTCACACTTGAATTTTTAACTTCAACAAATTAATATTATTTCTCATTTAGCACTTTCTCAGAATCCTACCATCCGCTATTCTGAATTCGTCAGTATGAATCGTTTGTTTTATTTCAAGTCCAACCAGGAAAAAAAAACTTATTTTGCATTCTATTCACAATAATAAATGGTCAACATTTGAATTCATTACTAAAATATTACATAGAAATTTTGATTTAGTGCGTCAATTGCAAAAAATCGGAGTGAAACCAATAACTTCCGAATTTTTGAAAATCATTAATTTTTATTGCTAGAAGTTAAAAATGATGATTATAATCAATTAACGTGAAACCGCTATTAAACCATCAATTTGAAATTTTTGAAAGCTGATTTCAGAATAGATTAATTGAAACCAACCTGCTACCATTTTTAAAGAAATTCTAGGGAATCCGTTTCACCTCTCCTCTTAATCTCAAAAAAATTACAGTAATTACCATGATAACATGTCACGCTGTATGTGTATACTTTCAAGTAATTGTTTACTCTATACTTTAGACTCTATCATATAACAATAGAATTATAAACAAGTTGAGACATAAGATCTACTGAATGTATCTTCTTAAAACTAAAATATAAACAGATTCTATAATTAAGTTTTCTTGTTTAACTTACAGAAGAGTTTTGGGAACATATGTCAACAAGGGCAAAGCCGTAAGTTGCAAGATGTCGGATTTAGGTACAGACAATCCAGCATTCAGCAACGCAGATGAATGCTTGGATTCCAATACAAGCAAGAACCTCGAAAATAGTCACACCGAAAGTGTTCAACAGGAACACAAGGATAAGTCATCGGTTATCAGTAACGGAAATTCTTTTGTGTCCCAACACTACGTTGAACCAAGCCAGAATAACTCCGATGTCCAATACAAGACTGAAACGAGGATCGAAGTGCCTGGAGAAGAAGAAAAGACTTCAAATACTGTTAAAACCAATGGAGTTAATGGAAATAGTAATAACAACGATGTAAGCTTTCTTAACACAAGTGTTACAAGTGCTCAAATAAATGGTAAGATTTTTTACATTTTTGAAAGTTTTTTTTTATGTATTTAGTAACCTGGAATACAAATAATGAACACAGTGATGAATAGCGTGATTTGATCATTGACCAAAATTAGCAATTAACTTTGAATCAATGAGGTCCTGAAGTAAATTCTAGGTCAGTGAAACTTGCGAATCGCGGATGATTTACACTAAGATTCACTTGATGTTCTGTCCCGCATTCTTTACTCTTCTAGTGACAATTCAATGAGGGTCATGAAGATTCGAGTTTCTCCCAAACTCATACATACATATAAATTTATAGCATGTACAAACATATACATATGAAGATTCATGACCTTGATCTCACAATTAATGTTTCTAGATGGTAAGAAGGAGCAAATTGAGGCCGTGAATTTGGAGCTGGTATCGATGAAACCTTATACAGGAAACAATTTGCAGACTAAGGGTCAGGAAGCTTGCGAATTACCAAGTGATCCTTATGAAGAATATTTCGTGCCTGTTAACGAACATCGGAAGTATATCAGGTATTGGAGATTTATTATTTCTTTACAAAATTTTCATTTGAAATTAATATTATTTTTACTTATGCCTCGGCCTTTGTCACATTCCTCACCGAGTTAATTATTTATATTCAGTAGTATAACATGACTATCACACTATTCACAACGCACACGTCACACAGATATGCACAAGTTTTAAAATTTAAAAACCTTGTCATGTAAAAAAAATTAATCAAATGAAACACGAAGCCAGTCATTCTTCATTTTCTACTTATCATTTTTGTGATCATTAATCTTGACGATTGCTCATCAAACAAAAATAAAATGTTTGAGCCAAGGCGGTTAAATAAGAAAAAAAAAAAAATAATCGCGTGTTTTTATTTTTAAATAAAATAAAAAAAAAAGAACAACTTTCAAATCAAATCTAGTTGAAGGAAATTTGTTCTTATGATTCCCCAACAAAATTAGCAGCAGTCCAAGCGCAGAGGTCGAGACAACCGTGGCTGGTGTCCGATTTGATTTGGGACCGGGTGTCGGCCGCGAGGGACTTAGCCTTCGAGATCCAACCGCTGGACTTGTCGACTACTCCCATTGGCTCAATGCCTTAAGGTACATCAAAGGAGTGCTTTCAGTTCAGTTGACGAACAACCTGGAGAGAACAATGAGTCAAGCGACTAGACACTAACCCCTTTCGCTTTAAAATATTTTTATAAATATCATGATCAAAGGGTTGATGCACGTAGAAAATAAAACAAATAATATCAGCCCACTAGTCATTAGAAGGATTGTTGTCCTATTACGAACGAAATCCCGCACAATTAGCTGTTTGATAACCCTGGGAAGCTTTTAACGACGTACCTAACCCTCCCTAAGACTTATATATGTATATTATAGCTCAAATTTGTACAAATGTTGCTTTAAATACAATAGTTTAAATGACAATTAGTGAAGTGGCTCTACATTTTATTGTTTTTATAACGTGATTTTTATGTTTCAGAGGCGAAAAACTTTACGTTACTAAGGATAAAAGAACAAAAAGTTCTTATTGGCGACGAATAGTTTGTTGGACTTTTGGACTAACGGTACTAGCGCTCGCGTTAATAATAGCTATTTTAGCAGCAAGTAAGTTTAAATAAAATAGATTTTTATTTGTTTCTGTAAATGATATGTTAAATTAAAAATTGAATTATCTTTCAGCTGGCGTAATTTTAACACAAGAAGCAACGCAACCACTGGATAATGATCATCAGCGGTCACTGGATAATGTTAATACTGCAGGAAGTAAAGAGTTTATAAAGAACCCACCAGCTAGTCCTTCACCGGAAACATCAACTTTCCCACCATGGCAAACGACTGATGAGAGTATGTTAAAGACAGTACCTGAAGCGGTTGAGGGAAGTATCTGGCTAGATAATCTTATTTGGAATGATGACCTGATGAATGCCAAGTCGAGAGTTTATCGAAGTACTGCTATGGAGATTGAAAACAGTTTAAGAGATATGATACTTCCGGTTGGCTCGATAACTGTTGTCAAAGTTTACAACATTACTAGTAGTGGCCAAGTAATGTTTAGAATTGGTTACCCGCCGACACCAACTCCAGAGATGCTTCAAGAAAGTATTGAAAAAAGGTTAAGAGAAAACAGTAACATGATTGGAAAGTATCATCTAAGAAAACTTAATGTCAAACGTTTGATTGATGAGTGTCAATATGGTTACTTAAATTGTTCTCGAGTTTGTAAATTTGATTACATTCATGCTGTATTTAATTGTGAGGACGATTACTTGAGTGACGTCAGTTTTGATGCGGATGAGCCCAATTCAATGTCGAACGATGATATAGTTCAAGGTCGAGGGCGTATTCCCGATCATCCATTTGAGGCTGAAGATCATGATTACTGGATGGATCATCATCATCATGAACACGAAGGATTAGTTACAGAGCCAAAAATTAATCCGATGAATGAACCTCAATTTGGATCTACAGCTGAGTTAGAGACAGATTCAAAATCACATTTTGAACCTGTAGCTGAACCTGCTCCTGAGCCTACGGCAGAACCAACGTCGAAATCAACAGTAGAGTCGGAAATTTCAGGAGAACCTTTCCCTGAGCCTGAACCCAAATCGGTAGTTTCTGAATCTTCTGTAGTATCGGAGTCAGAACGAGAACCAATTGCTGAGCCTAGTCCAGAACCGGTTGCTGAGCCAACTCCAGAACCGATTGCTGAACCTACTCCAGAACCAATTGCTGAGCCAACTCCAGAACCAAGTGCTGAGCCTAGTCTAGAACCAATCGCTGAGCCAACTCCAGAACCAAGTGCTGAGCCTAGTCTAGAACCAATCGCTGAGCCAACTCCAGAATCAAGTGCTGAGCCTAGTCCAGAACCAATCGCTGAGCCAAATCCAGAACCAATCGCTGAGCCAACTCCAGAACCAAGTGCTGAGCCAACTCCAGAACCAAGTGCTGAGCCTAGTCTAGAGCCAACTCCAGAACCAAGTGCTGAGCCAACTCCAGAACCAAATGATGAGCCAACTTCAGAACCAAGTGCTGAGCCTAGTTTAGAACCAATCGCTGAACCCACTCCAGAACCAAGTGCTGAGCCAACTCCAGAACCCAGTGCGAAGTCTAGTCTAGAACTAATCGCTGAACCCACTCCAGAACCAAGTGCTGAGCCAACTCCAGAACCCAGTGCGAAGTCTAGTCTAGAACTAATCGCTGAACCCACTCCAGAACCAAGTGCTGAGCCAACTCCAGAATCCAGTGCTAAGCCTAGTCCAGAAACAATCACTGAACCTACTCCAGAACCAGTTCTTGAACCTAGTCCCGAACCAATTGCTGAGCCAACTCCAGAACCAATTGCTGAGCCGACTCCAGAACCAATTGCTGAGCCGACTCCAGAACAAGCTGTTAAACCAACGGCAAAACCTGAAGCTATCACTAAATCGACTGCAGAATCTCAACCGGAAACCGAGCCTGTTGCTGAACCTACCACAGAACCTGAGCCTATTGCTGAGCATAAACTTACTCTTGATAAATCTACAGAAGGACCCAAAGATTCTGAACTCGATTTCTCAAAAGTAATCCCTGTAGAACCTGAACAAATGGCAAAATCGCAATTAGAAAGCGAAATTCTTTCTAAACATCCATCTGAGATAAAATCCGAGACTAGTTCAACACCTGTGAATAAATTCGAAAAATTTGACTCTGAAGTTTCAAGAGAGCCTAACTTTGAAATGGAATTATCTTCAAAGCTTACACTAAAACCTGATGTTTTTGAAGATTTAACTACCATAGAACCACTTCCAGTTATACCTTTGTCGCCGATAACAGATGATAACTCGTTATTAGATAATTCAAAAGAAATTCATGAAATGTTGCCTACTGCAATACCTGAAATAAGTGACCATCATCGCCTTATTGATGAAAAATCGTCCGAAAGTATAAAGCCAGTTGAACTTGAAAATGAAGACAGCACTATGAATTCTCCAGTAAATTCTTCCTCAAAGGAAACTGAATCATCAACAATTATAGTAGAAAACTCAACAACCGAAGTGAATACTCCCGAAACTCCTCATATGGATTTCATTATAACTACTCCCGAGACAAAAATTCACGAGTCGAATGATTCTAATACTGTAAATCAGGTTCCTGACTCAGGATTACCAGGTATGCCCGATAGTATAATTAAAAATGAAAATTCATTAAATGATTCAGTAAATAACTCAATGCCATTATCTAATGATACAACGATGACCCTGCAATTAATTCCCGAACGAATAGATCCTTATCTACTCATTAAGCAAACTCTAGAAGCGGCTAAATCAAATGAACGATTGAATAGTTCAATTATTTCTTCAAATATTCCATCGTCGGTAATGCAGAATGAAACATCTGAAAATTCATCTGTAGGATCTACAGTGACATATGAGAAAACTCACGAAGGAATGTCACCTTTTTTACCAGAAATAATTTATGAAAAAGACACAACTAAAAAGGCTCCTCGACTAGATAAAGACGAACAACACTATCCAAATCCATTTGAACCGAATGTCGAGGACGTAATCATGCATAATCTTGACTCTAAAACTGACACGTTAATAACATTAAATCATGACGTAAACGGAACTCAGTTTACAGACTTAGTCAACAAAATAAATGAATCCCACGGTGCTCAACAGACTGAAACGAGTCACAAAGAGGATGCTAGTACAGTTGACATGATGACCACTATGACAACTACATTATTGAATACACAGACAAACTTAGCGATGACTAAGGAGCCAGTCGTTGATACCGAAGACCTTGAGGTACGACACTTCGATGGTATGATTACGGGTGAAGTTATGAATGACATGCACGTTGAGCAAGGTAATGATTCTAATGCTAATGATGATAGATTACACGAGAACATTGAAAAAGTTGCCGACGATCCTGTGAATATTACGGCAATGCTACAGGAAAGAGAACAATCAGATGATCCGATGATAAATAGTCAATTAACAACTTTTGACGATAGAAAATCTGTTCCGTTAATTGAAAAAGATGATGATAAATCGGACTTACATAATAAATTTGAAGAAAATGCGGTTGAAGATCAGTATAATGACATTATTGAAGAGCGCATTTCAAAAAAAATTGAGAGTAGTGGGTTAAAGTCATCGAAGAAAAATTTATTACCCGTAGAGCCTAAAATGAAGTCAACTACAGCGAAAAACAGCGAAACTACCGTAACAATCGACAATACAACTTTAGAATCAATCAGTGATGTAGATAGTGCGAAGCCACTTTTAAAAGTAACAACTGAAGAGACGGTGAAAGATAAAATAGACGATAGTAGTAAATTTACAACTGAGACTCCAATAATGCCTGTAGAAATTCAACAAGATATTTCAACGACAGAGATAACTGAGAAAGTAGAATCGACAATGATGAGCAATTTAGATAATATTGTTACTAACGTACCAGAAACAACTACACCAATGTCATTGATAGAGTCAAAAATGAGTACTAATCAAACGCCAATTATGCCGAGCGAGTTTATGACCACGGAAATTAGTACATCTGAAAAGATGCCACAGACTCCTGATTCAACATCAGAATCTACGGAATCAACAACTGAAAGTATGCAACAAGGCAAAGATATAACAACTGAAGCTCCGAAAGTTTCTACTGTTGGTTTTGATAACATAAAACCTGTTTCTGAATTGATTTTTGATGACCCAGAACCAGAAATGTATGATCACTCGAAATTTTTCACAACTACCGAACCAGCGTTGATGGATCACACATTAATGGATCAATTAGTGCCTGAAGATCTTTCGGAAGAATTATTGAAAATAATTCCACTAGATGCTGATGACGTAACGGAAAAAACATCAACGGAAACTACTAAAGTGCCAGAAATGCAAGTGACGGATACTACAGATATTTCAATGTCGACAGTCGAACAAGATATGTCATCTGTTCCAAGACTGAAAATTGTTGAAATAACTTCCGTTTCTCAACCACCTCAGATGCAGAATCATAGTTCGATTATAAACGCCACAACAGTTTCTCAAACTCAGCAAACCGAACAAATGAACTCTCGCATGAATAATCTTCCAAGCTCTCATTCAACTCCGGATGTGATTCCTGTTCACGAAGCGATCGAAGATGATGAAGAAAATCCGATGATTATTCCTTTCAGTAGGATGAAAAATATTCAACCTTTGCTTAACGCAACAACGGAAGTTAAAGAAGAAAAAGAAGATGAACAAAACAAAGAAACTACAATCCATAATATTGTATCTAGCACAGTTGCAACAACCCAAACCTCTAGTCCAGATGAAAAATCAACATCGATGTTTAAATTTTCAAAATGTCACATTGGACAATTTCAATGTGTTAACGGAACATCGCGAGACGGAGCTTATTGTGTGAACTTATCATCGAAATGTGACTCTGAAAACGACTGTTCTGATGGTTCTGATGAATTAAACTGTGAAGATGAAGGTTGTCCGGGTAACTTCCAATGCAAAAGCGGCCAATGTCTTGGTAGACATCTTGTTTGCAATGGAATTGTTGATTGTGATGACCGCAGTGATGAAGATAATTGCGAAGAATGGGCTTGTCACTCTGACGAATTCAAGTGTCCAAATGGAAGATGTATTCCAGACCTCTGGCGCTGCAATGGCCGACCAGATTGTGAAAATCACAGAGATGAATATTCATGCTCAAAGAGTTGTGGCAATGATGAGTATTTGTGCCCAAGTGAAAACTGGTGCATTCCACAAACATGGCGTTGCAATGGTGTATCAGAGTGTGCGAATGGCGAGGACGAAAAGCTTTGTGACTGTTCACTAGACCAATTCAAGTGTCAGACTGGTGGCTGCGTTACTTTGGACCAGGTCTGCGATGGGATTGAACACTGTCCAGATCGATCAGATGAGTGGAATTGTTTACTAGCTAATACGACAAATTTGACTCAAAAAAATTCAGACGATGATGAACGACTAGTACCTACTGGACAATCTATGCTGTTGAAAATTAAAAAGTTTGACAACAAACACTACCCGATTTGCGCAGATAATTGGACCAAGAATCACAGCGATTTATATTGTAGATTGCTTGGATACTTTGGTTCTGAAACGACAGAAAGTGTTGAACAAAATGACTTTGTTAAGATATTGCGTTTGAAAGAAGTCAAAGAGAGTCATTACCAAGATACGACTAATTTGATAGCTGAGTTGGAGTTATCAGATAATTGTCCATCCAAACAATTCGTTAAAGTTTCCTGCCAAGAATTCTCTTGTGGATCTCTAGATAATGAAGGTCCGACAGCTCGATTAGTCGGTGGGACACCAGCTGGTGAAGGACAGTGGTCCAGTGTTGCGCTATTAAAAGAAATTAAAAGTGGTACTGCGTGTACCGCAAGTGTATTAGGGCCGATGCATGCATTAGCCAGTTATTCTTGCATTCACAAGTAAGTTTTTAAAATTACAATCTATTGATTTTATCATTTGTCAACAATTAATAATAAAATGGTTATTTTTTCTTTTTAGACATAGACAAAGTAACAACTGGGAAATTTACACTGGTCGTGATCTTCAAAAGTCTACTCAAGTGAAAAATATTATTCCGTACCCACAAGTTAAATATAATCAATTTTTATACAACGATGACATTGCTTTGATTCAACTTGAAGAACCACTTGTATTTTCAAGAAATGTATCTGCTGTATGTTTGCCTAATCAGCAGTTCCAGGTAGAAAATAGTTTTTTATTTAAATAAGTAATTCTTATAGATATTAAAAATTTGCTCTAAAATGTAAAAAAATGATTACAGCCTCGAGCTTTATGTGTCACTGCCGGTTGGGGATTCCCATTGAATGGAGAAATAAATTTGAAACTTAAATTTTTACCAATACCGATTTACAATTCTGAAGAATGTAATGCAACTAGTCATTATGCTGGATTTATTACTAAAAGTAATATTTGCGCAGGATTCACTGGTGCTGACAAGGGAACTTGTTATGTAAGATATTAACCATTTATTTGTGGTGTAATTTATGAATGAAAAGTAAAATTTTAATAAAATTGATTTATTGCTTTTACTTTTAGAATGACGAAGGCGCGCCATTGATGTGTGCAAGCGAAACCGGTCGTTGGGAATTACAAGGTTTACTTAGCCATCATAGCAGATGCTCAAGAGATCACCCAGCTATATACTCGAGTCTTAGCCCAGCAATCTCTTGGTTGCAGCATTCAATTCCTGCTCTGCAGAATCGAATTTAATAATTAGATTTTTTATACTTGAAAAAAAAAAAAAAAATTAGAAAAACGGTTCACCCTAAAGGTCATCCCTGCAACTTCCCGCTCATTTTGTATTTAAACGCTTCAAACTACACATTACGTTTTTGAGCTCTTTGATCTCAAAAATATTATTTTTGTGTCAATTTGAACTCTTCGAGCTCAAAACTCTAATAGCAGTTTAAAGACACAATTTTTTTAATTTTCAAACGGCAATAACTTTTGAATGAATGAACCGATTTTCACGCGGTTGGCGGCAATCGACGCAGTTTTTGAAGCTCCATGAAAAATTTTCAAGTTTAAATCGATCGAGCCATGAATTTCGAAGTTATTACAAAAAAACACTTTTTTCGATTTTTTTCGACAACGATATCTCACGAACGCATCAACTGATTCTAATGTTTTTGGTGGCGATCGATGGGGGTTTTTAAGGTTAAGAGCTGATTAGTTTTTGAGACCGATCGGTTCAGCCAATTCGGAGATATTTAAAAAAAATAAAAAAAAAAAACAACTTTTTTTTCACTTTTTTGCATTTTCTCGAAATCTACCGGTCCGAATCGGTTCAAATTTTCAGAAAATCTAAGTTTAGTGAAGCCCTTTCGAATGACACCAACCGCGATGAAATCGGTCGAGTCGTTCAAAAGTTACAAGAGGTTTACACACACACACACACACACACACACACACACA